TGAACTCACAAAACTGCACTGTGTATACTGCATTATGACTGTGATATAGTACCATAGTATAGTTACTGTAACTTACAGTAACATTTCATTTCATACTGAAAAACCATTTACATCATGTTTTTGCAGAACTACTAGACAACCCCATGCTGGAGGAAGAAGACAGCTGTTCACACCAGAGCAGCATAGATACGGTATGGTCAGAGCAGACAACAGCATAGTTCTGACAACTGTAACAGCGCATCACTAATGACAATATAATATTCAGCAACATCAGTTCATCTGCACTGGACCGTCTCCTGAAAAGGTGTCATCTATATATGAAGCAGCTGTGTGAGGTCCCATTAGAGCACAACTCTGACAGAGTGAAACACCTCTGCTATGAATATGTTCAAGTAAGATGAGCTATCCCTTCATTGGTTCTGTACTCCAGTGTACTGTGCAATACAATATTGACTGCTTCGTGTTATACATACTGTACTGTCATGCAAAACTGTATTGGTTTGTCTCACCTGTTTCAGACAGCGATGGAGCCACGTGTTTCTGTACATTGATGAAGCTGGTGTTGTACCCGGTACTTTTTACCATGCTACAGTGCCTTGCGAAAGTATTCGGCCCCCTTGAACTTTGCGACCTTTTGCCACATTTCAGGCTTCAAACATAAAGATATAAAACTGTAATTTAAAAGGTGCAGTAAGACTAAATGCATACGCTCTGAAAATATTGCAACTGTCAAATTCACCAGTGTTGTTTACAGTATGGCAGCGTCTTTGTTACGCAACTAAACGCTCTGGCTAGAACAGCCCAATATAAATGTCGAATATGGCGAATTTCACGCAGAAGCCATACTTTGACATTAGCGTTGACAAGCTACGATAGTTAGCTGTTAACTAGTTGGAACCATCGACGACTGAACCTGTTTCTGCTCCACAACAAAGCTTGAGATGGACATAAAAGTTTTCAACTGAGCACGACATAACGACTCCCAAGTGTAAATACAGCAAAATGTGATGAAGGAAGTCTACTGTTTACCTCCTTCAAGTCTCCGGAAAAGGGAGACTAACACCAGAAATCGCTCCGCTTCACTGTTTCTCTGAACTGTTCGCTTCTGTTTAAAGGTTCGTATTTCCTCCAGCTGCTTTAGAGGCCACGCGGACTAAACTATTTCACACATAGGGGTGTTTAACGACAAAGCAAATGTTTTTTGTTTTTGTATTGGTTTTTTTTGTTTTTGTTTTTTCTTTTTTTTACAAAAATGTGATATCTATGCTGTTCAACGACAAACATGCATCAAAATCGATTTATTTCGTTCAATAAAATTTAAAGGGATTATTTTTACTATATAACCTCTGGTTGTTATAGTACGCTCCTCGCTCCCTTACGTGGGACGCCTTTGTTTACGGATATGACCAGTGTTGTAGCACTCTGTGTATTTAGGATATTATGGGGACAAGATTCACTTCACACTGTCATGGGCACTCACCCTTGGGAGCACAAAACGGTCTTGAGATGTAAACCAATTAGCCCACAATTATTTTTTGTCAATTATGGTCAGTGCTATTTATTTTATTTATCTCATAATAAAGCTTGCAAGACTTTTTTGTTGAAGATTCTCTCTCTATATATAATAATGATAATAATGTGGTTTCTGATTCTAGGAAAATATGTAATTAGGCTTCAATTTGACTGATAGGAGTGATTTATTTTTGTATATATCACCTCCGGCGTAAAACACGTGCCAAATGTCAACATGCGAGTCGTCAGTGTGACGATTCGCTGTGGCGACCCCTAAACGGGAAAAGCCGAAAGTGACTTTCTTATATATCACCTCAGGGAGAGTATAGCAACACCAATAATTGTATAGTTTGGATACATGATAAATACTTAAAGATATTCTCAATACAGCAGAATATCACAGATATGGTTCTTTGTGTTGTTGTACCCGATACTTTTTACCATACTGACTCTGAGAGACGAGGCAGTCCAGTAACTTCAAAACAGTGCTGATTTATTCCAAGGATCACAGGTAAAATTAACATTACACGCTCAGGTATCTTCCACCTCCAAACTGCTCGCAGGCTGATGTAAGATGAAAGACCCTGAACCCACCAGGCCTATACATTATATCCCCTCGGTTGGGCTAGCCCCATACTACACAGAAACGTCAACCGCGACGTCTCTGGTGCCAGCTTTGCAGCTGGTCATAGCAGTAGTCAAAACATGAAGCAAATCAATGTGTGTGTGTGTCTGTTGGTTAAGTGGTGTGTAGCTAAAAACATTCTCACAGACTTCTAGAACATGTCGTGACTTAAACATAAGAACATATTATGGCTAAGGCTACAGTTATACACGTCATAATAATAATATTAAACATCCTGTCTGCTGACAGTCATCAACTCTTCTCTCTAGTTATCCTTGACCAGATGTACCCTGTAGAAACTCATAAGCATGACTAAGCATTTAACAGTCTAACTAGACATCCTATCTCCACTAAACATTTCTAATACATAAAGTATCTATCCAATATCTATCTGACTAAAAATACCTAACACTGGCTTTAACCTTGAAAAAACAAGGCACAGGGGAAGGAGCATCATAGGACACCGCACCATCATCGCTGTCCATGGACGGTGCCCTATGATGCAAACATAGCCTGTAGTTACAAAGATAGTGCCTAAGCAATCAGAAGAACCATAATCACCTCACTAGCTGTGCATGGTTTTAATTCTTTCTGGTCTCTTCTCCTTGTGAAACAAAAAAATGTTAATAATTAATTTATTTTATCTTAATTAACAGCAGAACACCTGTGTAACTTTGATTTAATGATGCACTAGATGTCATAAGAGAAATACTAATTGCATATTCAGGTTTCTAGTTTAATAAAGCACTCAAGTCATATGAAACCTATATTCTCTTAAATGAGTTGATGAATGAAAAAGGTGCATGCATAAGAATAAAAGAGCCGACTGCAAAAGGACTGAAAGAATATGAGAGCTGTAATTGGATATGTGTGAATTCATTTGTTCACTGAACATAATATGAGATCAGATCAGATCATAAAGCCAGAAGGAACAAAGGGAAGATTGGCACAAGGTGATGGAGGCAGATATTTAATGGATGAGCCTGAGTGATGCTTTCAGTGGCCTGCACTGCCACCACGTGGAGTTAAAATGGGTCTAATTGTACCTACTACACTGGGAGAGCTGTGCTGATAACAGTGATTCATTTTGAAGTGCTTAGATTAAAATGATCTCCAGCGTGCCAAACATTCAACATAAAAAATACTGCTTTTCAAACTATTAATCAAAGATGGATTAGAGATTATTGCTCTTCCCTAATAGGGAGTAATGTGCTGAATGTTGTTCAGGGAAAACTGTGAGTGGGAGGCTAACCACTCTGTGTTCATGAACCCGTGAAACCCGACCGCCACTTGAGCATGACTATTGATGAAATTTCATTTCCTAGTGGGAGTCTGGCAGACAGAGAGAGAAGCCAGCAGTTGCTCTTATCATTGCTGCCTCCTATATCCAAATTTATGAAGACATTTTGTTGGCGTGCTCTACATAAACATAAACATAGCTATATACAGCATTATAATCCTCAATAATCCCCACCAAGAATGTGATGGAGGATGTATGTGACATCTGGAACCATAATCTTCCCTATAGATAGATGTTTTCCATCAAAGAGCAGGAACACAGGAATGTTTCTGTATGTTTCGCCAGCCATGTGTCAATGTGAAAAATGTAGCTACATCAAAAAGCGGATTTGTGCTCATAATTTTTTTTCCTCAAGGGCCTATGCACTATGAGAATATCTGAGGGATAGAGGTGTAATCGCATTGCCCTTGTTTTAGCCTCTTCAGAGTCACATTTCATTGGTCTTTACTTTAATCACAAGGAAACACTTCTGGTCCAGACAGTGTATCTGGACAGTTACCTCTTTTTTATACTTCAGGCTCTGGGCTTCAGTACATTCAGTTTGAAATAAAACAATGCATACTGCATTAAAGTGCCAAATCTCACAAATATAGTCAGAACTGAGTGGGAGATAGAGTCCTTTTTACACGGTGTGTAAGGTTTACTGAGTTCCAGCGTAACTGGACAGATCCACATGAAGTCAAAATAAATCATCATATTCCATAGTCTGTGGAAAATCTTTTGCAGTCAGTGACTGCCTGAAAACCAGTGGTGTGAGAAGCTAAGTGTCCCTGAGCAAGACACTGAGCCCTGAATTGCTCCTGGTGACTTGACTAGCGCTGTTGTGTGGCAGCCTGTCGTCATCGGTGTGTGAATGGGTGAATGGTGCATCATCTCCTGTAAAGCACTTTGGCCAGTACAACACACTGTGGGAATATGCGCTATATAAATACAGTCCATTTACCATAAAAGTAGCAATATATAACAATGTAAAAATACTCTGTCACTTGTAAACCTCCTGCATTCAAAATGTTACTTAAGTAAAAGTGCAAAGGTATTAGCATCAAAATATACTTAAAGCAAAAGTACTCATTATGCAGAATGGCACATTTCACATTCCTATATCATATTATTGTGTTATAATTAAATGGTCTTATATGCTTTCATACTATTTGGTCATTCACCCATTCATATTCCTAAATTCACGACATCAGCAGCCCCAACTGGGGCCTTTACTGTGTTCTTAACATTTAATGTTGCAGCTGGTAAGTGGTGAGCTAGTTGTAACTAGCTTATATGCATTTTATTTTGCTGGCTAGCTTTGGAGTAATTATACTGTATATTTTGTATTAATTTGGCTCTGAAAAGTAACTAGTAGCTAAAACAAAAAAACCTTACTACTGCAACTACTACCACTACCACCACCATCTTGAATAAAATAAGCCAATATGTATGTAACAGAAAGTTACAGTAATATAGGATAGTGAGTTTTTAACGCGGAATGTTTATCAACGTTACGTTGTTGCAGTCGAACTTGTTTAAATGCTGCACTCAATATGGCGTACAGTTAAAATAGCTTGTGGTAGCTATGTAGCTAAGCCAATTGCATTAGTATTATTATTATTATTATTATTATTATCCTCATCATCATTAAGCAGTGAACATACCGGAATTTCCGTGAGTCGTATTTTAAAATGTTCGTTCATTTCAAATGTCTTGTGCATGTAATGCTAATGTTTTGCTAGCTTGTATGAGACAACCAGGATTACAGTAACACTGGCTTATCTAATATTGTGTTTATAAATGTGATTTTTGTTTTAAACGAAATAAATAAAAGCGGTATGTTGGTGTTATTGATAAAACGAAATGTAACATTAGCTGTTTACTATCCTTGGCTCTTCAGTGTCCTCGTGTTATTAGCAGAAACATCTTGCTCGGAGGTATAGGTTCAGGGATTTTATTGTCAATTCACCATCTGTAATAGAGTAAAGTAGAATAAAAATAGAATAGAATAAGAACTGGATAGACGTAATTAGGATAAGTCTAAACGGTACAGCCAATAAGCTGTGACTTAAAACTGTGTACAGTCAGTGACAGAAGTGCAAACAATAATAGGAGATTGTTAGATGTTACTGGAATTTGAAATAATCCAATTCAGATAATAATAGGCTCAGAGTTAAGCCAGGCTGCCAGCAGAGTAGTGACTCACATTAAAGCTGGTTAGACCTAATGTCCAGATGTAGCAGCTCTTATGTACACATGAGACAGATGATGAAACTGCTTGTCTGGTTCTGCACTGCAGGCAGGTCTGAAATCTGCAGGGAGAGATGTTTTGTTTCCGGCTGCGACTGTGGCTTCAGTCCGCCCGGGTCTGCACTGTTCACCAACAGAATGCCCATAAACTGGCTTCACTCCAGAAAGCCACAACACTTCCCCCAAAGAAAGTCCAAAGCTTACTTTACCCTTTTAGTGAGCTGGAGACTTACCTGGACAGGTACTGCAGTTGATAAGTAATATGGACAATATAAGACTGCTTTAGCATGTTCCCCAATAGGGTACAAGATTTTTGAAAAACATTGGCTCTTTTATAGTTTTGAGTTTTTAATAATATGGAAAAAAATCATTCAGGTCTGTGGACAGGACACAGTTCCAACTCTTTCATCCCAGTGTGGAGGACATGGTTAAAGCAGAAAAGCTCTTCTCCTCTTCACCTTCTCATAAGATTGATTACTACATCTCTGCAGAGAGGATGGACCATGTACCTGCACTGGAGCAGCCTGAGGTTAGAGGACTGTCAACAACCTTTTCATGTTCAGTGTTACTAAAACCTTTTTTAAAGAAGGTTGGTGTCAGTATCCTGTTATAAAATACTGGGTCCTACTATACCACTGAATGAATTTAGTTATGTGTGTCCTGCAGAACATTGTTGGAAGAAAAACATTTGTTCAGAAAACAGGGGCAACACCATCTCAAGTTATATGAGCCTTTCAATTGTCTAACTGAAATATTTGTTATGCCATTTGATATTTGGAAACCTTTGTATACCCAGTCCAAAGAACAAAAAAACTCCTGACGAGCTGCTAGGAAGTACACAGATTTTTGTAATGTGAGCTACAGGTCAGATTGCTAAAGACTGCCTTTACTTAATAATGTTTAGATGTACAAGCTGAGGAATGTGTCATCACTTCTCATTTACTTTTACACTTAATGAAATAATGAATACATTTAACAAACAGCATCACTCGCCTTAACAATAATACTGCTTCAGGTTGCATTCAGGCTGACTTTAGCCTTGCATGAAATAACACAGCCCCCTAATTCTTTTAAATGAAGTCAGCAGGTGTGCTAGTGCTCTGGGAAGAAAGACCTGGGGATGGCACAGTTCACACAAGCAAGATGGTTTTGTTAGGCTTAGAATTTGTATTACTGCTTATTGTGACCTAAAGTTTAAAACATATTCAGAGAGTAAAAGTAAAGAAAGAGAAGCTGTATGTTTGAATCAGTGAGGATGTTGACAAATTGCCCTTCACTACATTGGACATTTTAGTCTGAGGAAAAATGTAGTGTAATATCTTTTGACTCTCCTGCAGCCTCATACATAATTAAGCATGAGTTGAAACATGATAATAAATGAGTATATTCATAACCTCATAGAAAGTAGTGTTCAGTGTAAGGCTCAGAATGGAGCGTTGTGTTGATGGGACAACGGCTCTATTTGGCATGCCGAGTTAGCTACCAATCTGCCTTTCACCCCTCTCAGAGGATGATGTATTTGTAGCTTACTGTCAGCACCGGCCTCCATCCGTCTTGTGTCAGAGGTGCATGAGCCTGAGCCATGTCCTGTGGGACTTGGTGGTCACTGGTACTGCAGTGGCACGACCGCAGCAGCTTGTAACAGAGCAGGTGTGCTGTTTAAAATGTTAACTGAAGAATGTATTGAGATGAGGAAGTTTACAGACACAAAGAAAATATTGCAACATAAAATCTTATGGTACAGATAATTACAATAAATAGGTTCAATCATTAACACAGTGAGAGAGTACGCTGCAGTTCAGCACAGTATTACAGAATACAGCAACTTGTGTGTATCACCAGGTGTGTTTCATCGGCAGAAGCAACGTGGGCAAGTCGTCTCTAATCAAAGCTCTGTTCTCCTTGACTCCTGAGGTGGAAGTCAGAGTCTCCAAAACTCCAGTGAGTAGTGTCTGTTTCATTACATTCACATTACAGGCCTTACTGTTCAATGCTGATCCTTTTGTCAGATCTGATCTTTTTGTGTTGATGGTCCACACTCGTGTTTCTAAATGACATGTATCTTCCTCCAATTTGAACACCACTGATCTTCTAAACTGCCACACACACCCAGATTTAACCGAGATGAGAGTCACATGTATACAGGAATAACAATGACGTCATTTGTGCAATGGTCCGATCTCAAAAACTGCTCACTTATGATGCGTTTCTGCCAGTACACAATTTATCTTTTTCATCGTTGAATCCATTGATTTTCCTTCATATCTTCATAGAGTTGTTTTCCTCTCCTTGTATTTCCCCCTTAGGGACACACAAAGAAGATGAACTTCTTCAAAGTGGGAAGAGCTTTCACCATTGTGGACATGCCAGGCTATGGGTACAGAGCCCCCAAAGACTTTGTAGATATGGTGGAGCCATATCTTAACAAAAGGAAAAAGTGAGGAATTCACTTTGTTTTCAGATGGTTGCCTGGAGAAAAGCACCTTTTCAGAGTAGTGTGTATCTACACTATGGTCATGAGATGTGGCTGGAGATGCAACATTAACATTATGAATGAGTCAGTTCCAGGATTAAAGTGGGCAGTCAACCATAAATCATTGTCTCGGTGTGTTCGCTACAGAGATCTCACAGTTTTAAATAAGTAAATGCATAAAACAACTGACATTACCACAATAAGGCTGCACACACTGGTAGTCAGGAACATCATGTCTTCATATGGACTTTAAAAACATGGACAACAGGAGCCTGTCTGGCAGACAGAAGTCAGTCATTCCACAGTGTGGGAGCTACTATAGAAAACGCACAATCTCCTCTGCTCTTCAGCTTATTGATAAGACCTGCATGCCAATATACCGTGCTGTGCATTTGTTTGTGCATGTCACACTGCATTGTCGTATTAGGCCATGCTAAAACAAATGATGGTTTCTTTTTGTATTCTACTACCTGTGGATTGTGATCTGGGCCACAAGGTGGTGCTGTGTAATCACTTCTGCATCGTTTAGAATTCATTTGTGTAAACTTAGAGGAAGAAAATGAATGTTCTTCGTTTTATTTCAGTGAAAGACTGAAAACCTTTTTTAGTTTTTTGAACTTGGACCTTGAGTCTATAATAAAGTGTCATTCATTAGACTGTGTTGCATGTAAATCCTGACTAATCCTGACTCTGTCATGTTTCAGTCTGGTGAGGACGTTCCTGTTGGTCGATGGTAGTGTTGGGATTCAGAAGGCCGACCTGATCGCCCTGGAGATGTGTGAGGAATTCAGACGTCCATATGTGGTAGGACACACACGCTTCTCATCAAAAACAGTAACATTGTGTCTATTTAAGATCTGAGCTTGACAACAGAATATATGGAAAAACTAAAGGAAACTGCTATCCATATCTCAAATACAGTTTTCAAATACTTCTTTCACACACTTTACGGTCAGGCAGCATGAGGTTTTTTGGTTTATTGATCATCAACCTGTAACGTGTACTTCAAGTAAATCATCATCGCTCATGCCAGAATGACTTTTGAGTTCTGATCATTTCCATTAGTCGATTAGCAGAAGATTAATTGCCAAAACATTTGATAATTACTTGGTCTTTTAGGAAATTCAACTCCAAATTAGATTTCTTTCTGCTTCCCTTGGTCTTCTATAGTTGTAAAGAAAACGTATTTGGCTTTTGGACTGATGGTTACACAATAAGACATCTGATGTCACCATGGGCAGCTATGATGAGAAAACAACTGATAGATGATGCACGTATGAAAACAGTTGATAATCTGTTTTTATTAACGCCGTACCAGTGCAACACAGATATGTGCTATGGCTTACCATAGGCAACACGCAAAATACAGGTTCTCCAGCTCACAATGTGACAATGAGTGCACATAGTACCTGCCCATGTCCACCTGTAGCCTTAAAGATAAAGGCACACTGCCAGCATCTGCTGTGACAGACTGCACAAAGCCACAGCGATGTTTGAAAAGGGAACTGTTTAACATAGAGGAAAACAAACCATTCAGACACTGTTGTCACTGGTGTTTCTTGGAGTGGAAACAAGATTTTCAACATTCAGTGGAGGTGGTGAGCATTAACACTAGCCAGCTTTTATCCCTCTTTTGCACTTTTTACTTCTTCTTTCAAATCCTCATCATTATGTCCACAGTGAATTAATGCTGAACGCTCCCACTCAGCTATTTAAAAACTGCTATCCCCCTGAAAGGCTACTGCTGTGACATTATAATAAAGTATCCCCCACTCGCTACGTACTTTGCCTCAATTATTCATGCTTGCAGGTTATTAAACACTTTGGCCATTATCAAGGCTATGAGGGTTCAGCTTTTAACAAAGATTAACTCTCCACAGTGAAGTAAAAAGGAAGCATGAAGCCATGAGCTGAAAAGGTCTTTCATTTAATCCTGGAACAGGCTTTAACAAGTAGTCACTTTGCCTTTACATGATGACCAGTAGCTGAGTGTCAAGGTTTGAATTTAGGCAAGAATTTAACATCAGTTAGGAATGTTCAACATTCAGCAGCGGCACCTGACAACACGTATGTGCTAATAGAAAAAGGAAATCTAAGTCTTGAAACGGTGCCTGACATGTCATTATGAACACACCAAATCCTGGTTACACATCTTTTAATAATGTAATAGAGGGCCATGGGGATAGTCCAGAAGTTAGCATCAGCCTGGTTCCTTTGGTAAAAGGCCAGTGAGATGGCTATAAATACAGACTGGTGAGTAGATGAGTCTCCGTGTTCGGCGTGATGACGTTCAGTATCTCCGACAGCCTCTGTCAGTTGGGGTATTCACTGCCGTGTTTAACAGTATGTCGTAGAACAAAATGTAAACGTGTAATTGCCTTGTGTTCACCACAGACCTTATTTTGGTCGTTTAAACCAAAAACACACTGACTTCAGGGCGAGGGAACTGGAAGTGCAAAAATGCTGACTCACTTCTGGGTTTTAGGACTTACTACTACTGCACTTTATTACTCATCAGGAGGAAGACAATGGTAAGACCAGTCATACAGAAATACACCACAGATTGTACTGTACAGTGCAGTATTGTTAAGTGGCTAGTAGACAGTAAGGCAGTTGTGTTTCTTTTGTTTGCTTATGCAACACAGCCCACTACCCCAAAAGGCTCAGTGATGTAGAGCTGTGGATTAGCTGATTAGCACAAAACAAGGATGACAGGGCTGTGTTTGTATGATTTGATGAGAACACTGTATTATTTTAGTATTTTTCAAAAAGCTCATTTCTGAATATATGAATTGTAAATGAAGGTCAAGTTGTAATGTGCAGAACATTTTGTTGTGCAGATGGTGGTGACCAAAATGGACAAATGCAGGCCCGGCACGCTGCTGACGAACTTACTTCATCTTCAGAACGTGGTTAAAACACAAACCACAAGCTGCTTCCCACAGCCATTTCTGGTCAGGTCAGTCACACCTTCTCACTGACTGTTTAAAGGAAAAGTCTGTTTTCTATTCCTCATTGTCAACTAATTCTAAGGAAATACCAAAAACACTGAATGTATGACACTAATTAGTATTATATTGTGAGTAGTTCCTGGGCTCTTCTTCCTCTGAGCCACAGCTGTTCTGCTGTCCAGCAACCATAAAAAAACCATCTTTTGCACTGACACATTCCTTCATTACCATGAACACACGTGTACTATAGCTGCCAGACACTGTCCTGCTGCTGTAGACGCTCACTAAAACGTCACTTATGGATACGTTTGGATTGTTGTTTCCTCCCATCATGGAATTTGTTGGCACTAAGAAAAATAAAGAACAGCAACAAGCTTGTCCTTAATCCATGTTTACCTGCTAAGATGATAAAATCAACAAATGTACATTATTTTTCTGTTCCTAAATACGTTTGTTGATTTCTTCAACCATATTAAGTTTCAGTAACTGTAAACTTAGTTCAAGGTCAAATTGTTTATTTGCCACATACACAGTTAGGAAACGTGTTTCCCTGAACAATGAAATTCTTACTTTGTCGTCCACATGAATGCCACAAAAATACAAGTGAAATATAAAGTAGATAAATAAGTAACACAAAATCTAAGGCACTTTAAGCAGCAAATGCAGAGATATAATAAAAATATATAAGAATATAAGAGAATGTATGCTGCATGGGAGCAGCATGTGCACCAGTCAACAGTCAATGTGCAAACAGAATGTAAACAGTACATCACGTTTCTCCTGGTAATAAACTCTTCACCTCAGCTGTTTAGGATTCTGATGGCAGAGGGAAAGAAAGAGTTTTTCAGTCTAGTGGTCCTACATTTCACACTTCTGAATCTCCAGCCAGAGGGTAGAGAAGTGAACAGTCCATGCTGGGGGTGGGTGGGATCTTTGAGGATGGAGGCAGCTTAGACTTTCTTCTATGCTTCCTCTCAGTCCACATGTTTGCAATATAGGCAACACATCCTAAGCAGAGGTGTATTCAAATTAACACTGATAAATACTTTTTGCGCACCTGACAGTAATTTGCGACAGGTTTAGTAAATATCCCCCTAAGCGTCTGTGTTCTTTCGAGTTGTACCAGTTGAGATGTGCTACCTAGCAGGTTGGTTAGGAGTACAGCTGGGGGTGGGCCTAGTAAATCCATATACTCTACTAGCAAGAGTTTGACAAGGTAGCAGAAGTCAGCTCCTTTATGGGGATGACCTTTTAACATTTAATTTTATATATGGTTTTTTTTCTGCAACAGCTCTGTCCAGTTTTGGGGGATCTACCTCCTGAGATGCTTCGTTGCCCATGTAACAGGGAACATCATGTTAACAGAATCTTCTGAAAACTGACAAGAGGCTGGGACTTACCATGCTCTTATCACCTTCTCTTGAATTTCTTCATAAAGGCAGAGATGAGTGTGACTCAAGATTTGACAGCGACCTCTTTGTGGATTTTATTCGTCAGTGTTATGTGTGATTAATAATGGAAGACGTGGGGTGGAGGGGAGCTCTTGAGCGTAGGAACACCATTAGTTGTCTACATGTAGCTGAAGATGTTTTTATTTTCAAATAAAATATCAAATCCACTCGTGTTGTTTTGGCTGGTTTTAGAGGGATACATTAAATCACTGCTTCCAGAATGCAGACAGACACACACAGGTCTGCTACATGTTTGTGGACACTTGAACATTTCACCACTGTGGTTTCTAAACATTTCAAAACCATGGGCATTAATCTGCAGTGTCCAGATGAGACCTGTCCACACAGACTCAGTGCTTTGACTGCCCTGTCCACACAGACTCAGTGCTGTGATCTACTAAATACTGACTCGCAGGAGGTGACATTATTCAGTCGCTTATTTCCTGTTGTACATTTTTATTGAATTGAGTTTACTTTTTACAAACCTCTAGGTTTAATTATATTGACCATGACTGATTTATAAACTCAATAAAAAGAGTAAAACATCCAAGGGGGTGAATACTTGTTTATAGGCACATGGGATTGTTATTGAGTTGTGAATCTGATCAGTGTTCAAGTTCAGTATTTGGCTGTTTACAGTAGCTGCTAAATGTTCACTTGCTGGTGTAACTGTCTGTATGAAGAGCATCGTTATACTCAGGTTTTACTGGTATATAATCACAGCTAGCAATTTTTGACACATCTATAAAAATAAAATTATTTGTTTTAATGAATAGTTGTGAATGCTTTACTGTCCTTTTACTATAGCAATTATTTCAGGCAGTGCCAGTAATATGTTAAAATTTGTTGGAATTGAACTGACAGTACTAATATAAGGCATTTGGCAGGGGACAGTTATCTTTTAAAGTCTGTTGTTTGTGGTAACCATAGATAACCATATATTGAACATCCATCCATCTTCCTCCGCTTATCCAGAACCAGGTTGCAGGGGCAGCAGTCTAAGTAGAGACGCCCAGACTTCCCTCTCCCTAGACACTTCCTCCAGCTCCTCCAGGGGGATACCAAGCCGAGAGACATAGTCCCTCCAGCGTGTCTTCCCCGGGGCCTCCTCCCAATATATTGAACATTAAAAGTAAAAGTTGTTCCATAGCTTAAAGCTCAGAATGCAACATTTCAAAGATCCTGTTTTTATAAATAACTCAATCCGTTGTATGGACACACAAAGTTTTTTCCTCTGAGAAGACATCTGTTAGAAACCAGGGTTGTAGTCACCACATTTAGTTTAATTATGTTTTTTATAGAAATGGTAGTACAGTATTTATGAGAGTGTGATGGGAAACATCTCATCTAGAACAATGGAGGCTGAAAATGCTTAGTAAATCAGATGTAGTCATAAATTCTTTTATAGAAGTTAGTCAGTGAGGGGTCAAGGCCATGGACTGAAAATGCCATTGTACCTTTTTTTTCCAGTCCTCTTGCCACATTAAAGACAAGCTAGCAAATGACACAGTTTGCCAAAAATGTCTTATCACTTCCTTATTTTACACTGGAGCAGGGACACAGTATGAACTTATCAGATTAGATAATTATCTGCAATCAGACCAGCTAAAGCCACAAATGCTCACATGCTCATTCACACACTGGGGGCAAGAAGATACTTAAAATTTACTGCGACCTGAAACAAGGGCAAGTTGGATGGAGACAAAAAGATAAAAGCTGATGGTTCAGATAAAGACTGATAAGATCTCTCAAGAGCTACCATGGCACACACCCATGATACGTGCTTTTACAGCTTTATGTCCACACACACGTTTACATAAAATCTAATCTGATTGTTATAGTTTGTTTCGTTTTTTTTTTATTCCCAGCTTACGTGTTGTACGTCATAGACAGTACACTTCAACATCAGGGGTTTAAATCATGTTTCTTCATCATCATCATCTGCTGGTTGATGATAGACCATAGTATGCCACAGTGCAATTCAGCTCCATTCAGTTCAGGGAAATTATATTATGTGCCTGTTTCACACAATCAGCTAAATTTGTATTAACTCACAAATGGAACCAAAATAGAATTAGAAAATGTTATGGTGTCATCTGTTCACTGTAAAGTCCTATTTCAGTACATATAAGGACCCATGATCTTTGAGAATGGAGGCATTTCACACATACTAAAACAACTGGGGGGAAATATGTCTTTTCTACAGTGAGTTTTAAACATTTACATTCATACTTAGTATTGTGTGTCTGTCCTTTCTTTTTAAAATCCAAAATATTTCCAGTTTCTCTGTATATTACTTGGCTGCTACAGCTCAGAGTAGGTCGCTGCATCATCTGATGCTTTGGCAGAAATGGCTCCATTAACTCTTTATGTGGGAAAAAAAACATCAGATCCAAATTATTATTCTAAGCCTAGCATTTTTTAAGCCTTAAAATGTGCCTGGAGGAGCTCTTTAAGTGTGCTTAATGTCAGACACCAAACCACACACTCTTTTGGTGACTGAAAAAAGAAAATTCTTTCCACAAGTGTTTGTCTTTAACTTCTGTTATGCAAATGAAAAATGCAAGTTAAACTTTGCTCATAATGTTAGTGTTTTTTTACCCATACAAGGAACAAGGTTTCCCTGCTCTTAATATTTACAGTGAACAGTTAATAAATATAGTGGAAATGTCAGAAGAGACTTCTTGCCTAATATCTTAACAGCGTAAAACTTTTGGGCTGTGATCATGCTTATCTCAGTACCTCAAGGATTCAAAATTTTTATTTGCCATTTATGCATAAACAGACAGTCTAGGCATATAGGAATTCTTGTGCAGCTCTACTTTGGAGTCAGGTCAGGGGTCAAAAGCCAGAAAGAACATTTAGTCTTAAAATAAAAAGTTACATAAGGGCGATAAAGTATTAAAACACAATACCCAAAAATAGGGTAAGAGTATTTGGTGTTGTCATGGTTGGAGGGTGTACAGGGTGAAGAGTTTGGGGCTGAGACAGCAGCCCTGCGTTGAGCCTGTGCTGATTGTGAGATCAGCAGACACCCGTCCTCCCATTCTAATGTTATACCCCAGTTCTTTTATTGGACAGATCTGAATAACGAAGGAGTCCGTCTTTCTTGATTTTAGTGCTGGTTTATTTACAAATACATAT